AATCCTTCACTACATTGCATTTTTATTAATCCAAATCCGTAGTAGTACATTGACTACCTAGCGTCTTCTGAAAATAAGCTCCCTATGCAAAAAAGTTACATAAAGTTATAAATTCGTAATATTTGCGAAATGCTTGTTACGTGAAGGGCAGCTGTAAGCTTCGACTGTTAGCGCAAGTTAGTTAGCTTCATGATCGCCAGGATAACTTTAATGGTGAAGATACGAAAAACCAAAAGACAACATAGAAAAGCATCATAAAAATCGACTAATATTTGCTACAACTATAAATCAGTCAATAGAGTCAAAATTTGCTCCAGGCCAGCAAATATTAGCAGATGAACTTTGTATACACACTTACCGTCATGCATCTTCTTATACAAGCCAGAGTAATATCAGCAACGATAGCAAAAAGCACCGTTGCCCTACCTAAGTTCACATAGAGACACCCCCCCCCCCCCCGTTCTTTAGGCGCTGGCAACAATTTCTTTATTGGGCATTATTTACCTTCTCACGGTACGTATGCATTAACGCATCATCTGTCTGGCCTCGACCGATGCTAATAATTTTTCTTCAAATCACTATTTCCACAGTTCCCAACACCAGCTGGCCTCCAAATGAGAGATGAGTCAAGGACCTTCTCCTTCGTATTCGTAGAGACTGCGTCTAGCATCGGTAGGCAGACTGGGCAAGACGACGCTGTCCCTGACGAGTTACTCCCACACAAAACTCAACTTTTTAATATGGTATCTGCTTCGTTTTCTGTTACTGTCTAGTTTTTTTGGCAATAAATTGTTCCACCTGTTCGTCGAACGTCCAGCTAGTCAATCGTATGGCAGATCCTTTCCTGACCTTTCGTTGTCTACTCCGACTTTTACAATGCGGGCACAAGTGCTAATATATTCCGTCGTGCTTTAGAATAAGCGAGCGTTTGGTGGTGCACCTACATGGGTACGACAACTAGCACGACGAGGATTTCCTTATTGTTGGTAAAATAATCGTGCGACTTTCGACTTCCGGAAACCAAAATAAACGAGGAAGGGTAATACGTTAGAAGGTTCATATCTAAACGCTTGAACTGGATCTGAGTATGTGCGTGCGTCAACAACTAAATATGTATAATATAATCGAGGAAGGGGCTTTTCTGAATCTTTGTCAGTCGCTTACATTGTCATCGCCCAGTCTTATTTGAAATTTGTTCTTCATAGCGCACGTTGTTCATTGCCGTTTCTGCTTCGATGGATTACAGAGTGTGTCATGCCTGCTCACTCAGTGATGTTGCCGGTCAGATGCCAGCTGGCATATTCGATGCAGTCTTCACACGATTTGTGAATATTTCATTTCATATCTTGAGTCCGGGGTGCCCGTAACCTGTGGTCTCATCTCTCCGGCTGAAGTTTAAACCCGTCATTATAGCTTTGATGCTTCGTTCTTGTCACTGTCCAACATATTATCCACGCACAGTTCTCTGCAGTCGATCTACTATTAGTGGAAAAATTATTGGTTTCCTCGCGGTCGCAGAAACTGCGCTGTCGTACAAAGCCGTGAAAAAAAGAGTAAGTCATCGTCGCCGTCGATTGTGCTGAATGTGATCGATCGGCTGGAAAAAAAAGATGGTGGGGCAGGTGGCGAGCACTTGCGTCTCGAAAGCCGATTTAGACAGGAAGCTAACCTTTATCTTTGTAAGATATGCAGATCCTGGATATCTTCCATCAATTGCCTAAGTGATCAGAGCTTTACGGAAGCACTGGATGGTATGGCTGGATTTGCAAGCATTGTTTCTGAACTTCAAAGGCAGAAAAAAAAACGCTTATGTACCTTGCCTTTCACTTCGTCGGGCCTGGAGGTTCTAAAAGATAAGACAAATTTCTGACGAAATCTATTCCTTGCTACGTTCGCAAGCACACCAAAAAAATCCAGCGTCCCTGGAAAAATAATAGAGCTCGGAAAGCTAAGCCTGGAAGCGCGGAAAATGAAAAAAGGCTGGATAGCAAATTAGAAAAAAATAGAAAGAAAAGAGTTAAAAAATCGTTTTTATTGATCTGAACCTATTCCTGCATGTGATTACTGTATATGTTATTGTTTCTGCTTGCCGAGTTCACTGACCAAAAACGTCCAGCAGATTGCTTGTTAACGTGACGGTAGAGCAGCATCACAATAAAACGAAAACGAGATTTCATATTCACAAGGTCTCCCTGCCGCTCACGGAAGATCTTTCTGTTTCCTTCATTTTGACCCTTCGATACCGTCCATTCTGCCTCTATATGGAACCACGTCGCGGGGACTGCCACTGCAACACACTATACTATCAGTGGTCAAGCGAGGGGGCGGCACTCACCCTTCCTATCTAAAAATTGAATTGGTTGTGTTCACTGTGGACAGTTTCCGTTACGTTTATTGTAAATCTTTTGGACGCTACATGGTAACAGCTAATGTCAATTGAGCAATAGTCTTGTGGGTAATGTATCTGTAATAACCTAATAATGCCAGACATTTGTCCTCGTCCAGGTTCGCATCCAGGCCGTTTTGAGCTGGAAGCCGGCCGTCTGATGAAATGCCTAACGGCCACGCCTGACGCATAACCCAAAACATAAAAAAGCTCTCAAGGCCATGTTCCTCTATGGGCTCTCTCAAGTAGCGTTCATGTTTGGAAGAGCTCCGATCGTTGTTTATTGACACGTAAAATTGTTTTTACTTTCGAATTATTTCGAATGCTTGAACGATCGATGCAACGTACAGAAACTGGGACAGTTTCTCAATAAGATCTAGCAGTCGGTAAAATTTAGATTTAGGACGTGGGCGAGCGTTGCTTTTGTCCTGTTCGAATAATATCGATAATAATAAAAAGCATTATTATACTGCACGGCTTTAAGCCTCGCCGCTTGCGGGAGCTGATTCGTCGGACTTTTAACCTACACAAATTCATTTTTGATGATCAGACTACCTCGACACAAACGGCTTGATGGTCACTGAGACAGTTTTATGCAAGTCACTCAGAATGACTAATTTTAGTGTCCGCAAATGCGATATCTTTATCTAGATGATAAACACTTACATACGATAGAACTAAGTACCGTAACAGTGTTCGATAAGCCTCAACGATTTCATATAGTGACATGGGAACGAAGCGTAACGTTCCAGTTCCATCTCTGTCCTCCTTCTTGCTATCTTGCCACCTCATTCTGTCTACTATAACCAACGCGTCTTTCGCCACAAGGCGGGAAGCTGTCGGTGATCTGTTCAGGTTCCGATCTGATCTTTCGCAGTCGTATTGTCAAATAGATAATGCTTTACTAAATATCGCATGCGGCAGATATGTAATGGACATTATGTGTGCCGGTTGACAGTGATCAAATTTTAGCAGTTGCCGTAACTATTCTTTTCTCTTTTTTGGGCGTCGATTTAGCCGCCATTATACGAGTATTGTGAATCGGTGGCCGATCTTCACCCAGGACACCTTGACCACGGACACGCATTAGCGACAATTTTGGCAACCCGCAAAAAAAAAGTCAAAAACGCCCCGAGCGTCGGTAACGCTCGTAAAAGATCTGCACCACTTTGGTGACATTTTGGCGCCAGCGAATGTCAAACTGCTAAATAAGTAAGCCCGTCGATGCGCAATGGGGACCACCCAGTTATTTTTGTATAGCCACGTCTCCGCGGTGTATATCTTTGTGAGTACCGCTTGAAGATGGCCGCAGCACCTATGGCAACGACCGAAAACCGGCTGTTTTTCTGCACCACCCAATGAAGCCAAGTACTAGGAGACAATGCCATCCGGCTTGTAACAAAAAACAATTCGCGTCAGAAGACAAAACACACGAACAACCAACAGCGATGTCTATGGCTCAACGTCGCTGCTGCTGCTGCTGCTGCTGCTACTCTCAGAGAATCCGTTAACAGTTTTCGATGTGCGGAGAAAACAGAAGGGAAAAAAACGAGGTTTCGTTTAGCTGAACGGTCTATAAAGCGACCGCATACAGATAATCGACACGCGCAAAAAGGCAAAACTTCCCAATTTTCTATACGTTGTTCGTCAGCCGTTGAATGGCGACCAGGTCTGCCTAACGTGTACCACAGAAGATAGCAGAGAGTTACAAAATACAGAAGATTGCTCTGCTCGTTTATTATCAGCATCTTCGACGTCCGGACGCCTGTCTCACTAACCGATATTTCATTCATCATTAATTTCACTTTGCTTCGATTTCAGTTTTCTTTGCCAGTAACACCAAAGAATAGCGAGAGACAAAGCCAAACAGGGTGGCGGAGCTTCTGTTCCTGACAGTGTGTATTGTCCGAGACGTATTTTCCGTTCCGTTCCGTTGATTTTTCGAACTACAACTTTAGTTGGCAGTATTACTATTGTCAGTACCTTTATATAGTCTAACCGTAACGTGCAGTTCTGGTCGCTTTTGTGCAACGATTGGTTGCGCCAAAAAAAACTGATTGTGGCATCAAAGGTATTTAGAGGTACAATAGGTCTCGATCAGAGCATACCGACGGTAACGACGAAACAAAACAACGGTGTTTTTTTTTTTTATCTTCCCTCGTTTATCTCTTGTAACAACACGCAGCCAGCCGGGCCAATACAACTGAACTAAGAAGAAACTTGAAACGCCTCGCGATGCTAATCGCTCGCGGCGTTTGCCATTGTCACGATTGCACTGTAAAAGTCAGTGTCATCTTCGTAATCCTGAGCCCTGGAGAGGAAGGAAATTTCGCTTGAAGTGTCTCCTTGCCCTTATGGGGCGGGTAATTTAGGTAGCTGTGTCACGAAACGTTTTTAACAAAGGGGCCTCTGGCTTTTTTTATTTCTTCTCATTGTTTTGACAATTTTTTCCCTGTTGCTTCGCTTTCTCGAGTCCTATTCGCGCTCTCCAGTTACAGCATTTAATATCGCAGCCTCAGGAAGGGCCTCCAGGGACCCATTCACGGTACGATTGTCTCCTAAAATCAAATACTTTAAACTACATTAAGCCCCTTTTGACTGTCTTTATACTCACCTGCAGCGCGCAGAGTCCAAGCAAGAATGCGGCCCATAGGCCATCCATCTTCGTGAACTACTTTTTCGTTGCCAGATATCCTTAAGTTTCTCGTAGGAGGCGTATCACTTTCAACAATTTCAAAATCCTCGGCTCGACTTAGACAGTTAGCAACGGCCAGCAATCGAACGTTCGTTGTGCAGGCCGATATTGTTGCTTTACAGATACGCTTGTAGCTGGCACACTTCAATCACTAGAATCGTTCTGAACTTCAATTGAATTACCGAACGACCATACGTCAGTCACACTTCGAGACACAGCGTAGGCCAACAAATATCGAAACCATCAGCGGAAAGGACTCATATCGCACAGCAGATATGACAACCAAAGCTTTTACGAAACGACGGCTGATGACTGGTTGCTCCTCGATGCCACCTGTACGTTGTATCACTACATATGAATACCACAGTCTTCGTGAAACTACGACCAGTAGTAGCAGTGACAGCGCAATACCACAGCTGGTGGCACTCGCGCGCGCAAAGGCAACCCGTCAAAACGGCCCACAATGCGTTAGTTACACGACGAGGAAAATCGTACCGCCAACGATTGAGCCTACACACAAACCCAAACGAAGAAGACACATCAATTAAGCTGACGAGAAGCTTCTTTGTTGCTACTGGTATTACTGCTTCGTATGCTACTACAACAACATTGCACTACTATTGCTGTTAGGTCGTCTGATCCTGCTTTTGTTGTTACTGCTCGATTTTGTCGTACCGTGTCCACTGGACGCAGGATGCTCTGCCAGCTCGGCTCGATCCGCGCCAGCTACTGGCGGTACTTTTACGGCGAAGTCGGAGCACCACATTGCTCCAAGCAGCCGTCGCTGCAGACAACAATTCTTCGTCGACGAGTGACCTTCGCCGTGGGAGAGGAGAGACGCGGGCCGCAGCCAGTAAAGAAGCGAATACGCAAGCGTTTGTGGTTCGCGATTTGCTTGACGATCGCGCTCGCAAGAACGGCACGCTAGTCGAAGTAACAGCTGAAGTCGTTGTCGTAGTAGCACTGACACACACACAGGCGCTTGTGCTTGTAGTACTCACAGCTGATGTAGAGTGGCATTTACTAGTTAGCTTCACGTGCACTAATACTATATCGCCCTTAGTGCGATATCAAAAATGGCCGCTGTGCCCATTGCTACAATGACTACTACCATGGACTGTTACAAGCAGGGCAGGTATGCGAACAAAGCAAACAAATACCACTATCTTCGTAATGCACTGTCGACTGCATAGGTTGAACCCTGTTTTTCGTGTTTTATGCCCGGTGCTTGAGCCGTTCGCCATTACTTGAGACGGTTGACTTCCCGGACACAACAAATTATGGCTACGACTGGATTCGAACCTAGAGTACCACGTGTTCCTAACTTGAGCAGATAAGCATGTTACCCGCTAGGTTATCACAAAAGCAATCGTATAGGACCAGGAAGAGAGATAAAGGACAAGCGACGTTGAAAGCCGGCAGCGGTCGAATACGACAAGTTGATGGAATCTCTGGCTAGCCGGCCGTCGGCATTTCGTCGGGAGCTTCGCCGCGTGGAGCCGCGTTGTTCGCATGGAGACACGTGGGTAGAACCCGCGCCAAGCGCTTTCACTAAGCGCGATGACTACGGAGAGGAGAATCGCACGGCCACCGTGTATCGCACGAGCTGGTACACCGTCCTTGCTGGTTTCTTGTTTGAAGCTATAAGGAACAAAGCTCCTCCAGATGTTCTTGTCCTTGTATTTGAAGTGCCTAAGTGGGCCAAACTATGCGCATATGAGGTTATTATGCCGAATGCCTATCAATGCAATATGTCAATACCCATAGGTATACAATAGAACTAGGATTTCTGAGTCCAAATATGTTTATATGGATGTAAAAAGAAAGCATTTCATGCAAAGCTGCGTAGTTTATATTGCTTTCATCACTGCCTTAGGTCATGAGGAACTATAACAGGACGAAGATAACTTATTATAGCCACTGGTTGAACTGATGATATAATTAGCTTTCTTATAACGCTGACTTTGAACGCTTTTCGAGGGAATAAAACGGCCAGAAGGTATTTTTGACAGGGGCTAGTGCAAGGCGGTATTTGATAAGGTATATTTTTCTGTTGATAATTTGTTTTCTTTTATATCGTATTGTTGTTCTGTAGCTCTGTTTTGCTTTGCTTCCAGATGCGTTTGACGATTACAATAATGCAGGTCATATTTAAGGCTCTTTCCTACTGAGGTGTAAGGCGTCGACGTAATTGAAGCCTGTTGAACCTCATTGCAGTGAGGCGGATTTTGGCTAATGTGAGAGTCTTCATTAAAATCTAATATGGCTTCCATTCAGCATATGTGATGATATATGTGGAATCTCCTGTTATAATGTTCTCCTATGGCTTTATACCTAATCAGTAATCATGAACCGCTCGCGTCTCCCTGAGGAAACTCATAGCCGTATAAAGGTCAATAGTCTATAGGATTGCATGAGTTTTTGTTGTCGAATGAAAACCATCTCACTTTATAATCATTATATTGATATTATAATCTGTTATAATTATATAATATGATAATCTGTACTGAAGAGTAACCTATGACCAGCCCAATTTCCTGCGTTTATACCTTTAAGGAGATACTTATATATTGCTGCTCATCGTTGTTTCGCATTCTTTTCGAAAAACAAGCTTTAGATGAAAATTTTGATAATAGTAATAAATAATTGTTAAATATTGTTGCCATAATCAGATCTTATATAATCATATATACATTTACGGTTAATATCAAGTTCCGTTCAAACGAAGTTTATCCTGGTGCGTACGAACTTGATTAGCTGTAAAGGACCCTATAGTAAAGCAATGTTGTACATATTTCTGTAGCAGGTTTTTTTCCACTAAGTCATATGTGATATATAAAAGCCACGATTTATGTACAGTTATAAACTCGCAGGTGATGCCTGCTTCTTATCGTGGCTAATCAGCCCCTCTTCCTCCCCCGACTTCACACGGGGCCTGTGTTCTGTTTACTTTTGGCCAAAGCCCGAATGTCTTTCCTGTAGTGGCGAAGCATTATTCTGCAGAACATTGTTTGTGTAGTAATAGACCAAGTATTTAATCTCTCATAAGAGACGGAAGTGAAGAAGTTGCGTCAAGGAACAAGGAACCTATTATAAAATAAAACCAATTGAAGTTTTATTATCGTTATTGTGGATAAAAGCTTGTTTACTTCCAGCTTCTCGCAAGGATGGTGCTCTTTCACATAACGTGTTTCCCCTCGTAGCAGTCGCTGTTAGTTACATAGTCCCGCGAGAGAGACGACTAATTGTCAACTAGCGTAAAATCACCCCCGAAGAAAATGTAGGATTAACCAGCACGTCCGCCCCCATGACAAAGGAAGCCTCCCCCTCCCCTTCCTTTTGAATATTTTTCTTAATAATAATATTGGAAGTTTTACACCACAAAAATATAAATGGTTTTATATTTGGCTTTTGTCGAAATTTAATAAAATCATTATCAATAAAACGACATATTTATTATTATATAAAATTATATATAAAAATTATTATATAATAATTTTTATACTTATATAAAAAAACTGAAATTTCAACCTGACCGAGTTAAGCGACGTCTCGCCCGAGTCCGAATTGGCCGAATTATACCGAACGAAATTTCCTATATCTGAGAAGATATCTTCTCGAAGACTCTTCTACGACCAGCCATTCGGAAGGATCACTAAGTTCATCAGTCAATCAATAAATGCTTCACCAAGTCAATTGTATCGCGAACTTATCTCAGCGCGTCTATCATTGTTCGCGTACGTTTCAGTATGAGGGAGTATTTTGTCGTTGGAGTCCGTTTCAGTTATAGCGGCGTTCCGTTGTCATAATGTCTCCTACTTCATTCGCTATTTTTATAACTGTTGTATGACTAAGCAACTCAGCCATTTTAACCACACGGATAAGTTACCGTAGTAGGAGAGATGACGTGTGCGCGGATGCTGGCTATTGCCACCCTCGTCACCGGCTCTAACAACTCTATATCGAACCTCGTGCCCGATCATCGTCCGCGCTCGTTAGTAATTGGAGCAACAGCTTATCTGTGAACCTTTCTAATGCGTAGCATAAGCCCGATTAACGTCCGCTAGTGATTAGATCAGGACGTCACTGTTTTGTATTAACAATGATTTTCGTAATCGTTTCCTCCTTTTCTATCGGTTGGCCTTCACAAGAGGGACCTGTGAAATTTAGAACTCACCAAGCTTGTGCTACATATGACGATATAGGGCTTGCTGAAGGAGACGCTGTTAATGCAATATCGATGTCCTATGCCGAACTATGTACATCTGATCGGCCGCTCAGTGCTTAATGATGAGGTCACTTCTGGTTCAAACGAAAGTAGGCATCAGTATTGTGCTATCTTCCAATTTATTCTAATCACATTTAAACGAGGCCATTTTAAGCGATAACCTTCGAGAGACTACGTCATTGCCGCGTAAGCCGCACGCCAATACCTGTTCATCTACTGAATCTGATCCGTTTGCGTGCGGTGAATCCATGTCGAGCGCTCTGTATCATTAACTGTAGACAATCAGTAACTAGATTGTGCTGGTCGAGCCAGTAACGCAGTTCACTGGATTTTTCATCGGCTTGACGCGATCATTGGCAAGTCGTCGCCGTCGATAATGCGCGTCTGAGGTATGTGCTTCAATTGTGCGCCAAAATCCAGGGCAGGCAGATAGTCGTGTGCTTGTTTCAGGGAATCCATTCAGGAACACAGAAAATGGATAAAGTTACTTTGTGGCCGCCTGTTGGTTTTTGCCCCACCACCGCCGCCGCCGCCGCCGCCGCCGCCGCCGCTCCTGCTGCCTTCGGTTGGCTTAATCAGTTATTCAATTCCTAAGTCACTGATATAGTCATCTAGTTACTATTTTATGTGTCGTTCCAACGCGAAAAAATGTGCTTGGTTTAAACCGCAGTCGATCGTTTAGAAAGTTGCATAAAGTAATCAAATATCGATTGATACTGTGTCACATTGTACGGTAACCCTCGGCCCCAGCGAGTCCTGTTATCGTTTCTTCTACGATCTAATGCCGTGTAGCTCTAGATAAAAAGGAAGGGTTACTTTACCTGCCACCGGACATGTATGGGCGGTATCGTTCGACGGTACAATTCGGGGCAGATGTTCGTGTACTGTTTCGTATTTAGCTCGTTTCCAAGGATGGGAAAGGCAAAGAAAACCCGTGTGGTCAGGAGTTCTCAATGACCGCCTAATGGTAGTTAAATCAATAGGTTTGGTAACGAGTTGATCTAGTGAAATGTCAATAAGCAATTGAAAACGCATAGGCCGATATCTGACGCCAAGTATTCCTTGGCTTCGCCGATGAAGACATATAGCTCAAGAGAAAAAAAGGAATAACGTACGTTTGTCGGGGTTCCAAGGATTCGTACTGTTTTCTTGAGTGAAGCAAGCATTCACCATGAGCATCCTAATATAATTGGCGTGAGCACCTGCTAATCTGTGCAGTATCACAATACTGCAGAGGGTCCTTTTTTCCACGTGCTATGCCGATGGGTACGCTGCATGTTGCATATGGTCATTACCCAGCCGAAGTAGAATATTCAGGGAAGACATGTATAAAGGATTAGTTCGTTCGGCCGACGTAGTTGAACAGAATTCTCGGCTCACTGTCCTGCTTCGTTCGTTGCCGATATAAAACAGCATAGTACTAGTGGGTGGTTTATACCGGTATGGCTGAGGGAGAGATTTCTGTCAGACCGAAACCTTACGCATATA